AGAGAGAGAGAGAGAGAGAGAGAGAGAGAGAGAGAGAGAGAGAGAGAGCAGTCACACAGGCACAGTCGCGCTTTCTTTTGTACAGTTACTTGTATAGCGAACATGACAACGCAGAGAGAGAGAGAGAGAGAGAGAGAGAGAGAGAGAGAGAGAGAGAGAGCAGTCACACAGGCACAGGCAAGCTTTCTTTTGTAAAAGTTACGTGTATAGCGAACATGACAACACACACACACAGAGTCGGTCGTCCAATTGTCATAAGTCGATCGGAGCATCGTCATGGAGTATGCTCTCGGTATGAAGTATGCTCAGTCGTAAAACGCCCGCTCGAGGGATTGCCCCCGGGGGCGAGGGGGTGCGGGGAAGGCAGAGCGGGGCGGAGAGGGGAGGAGAGGAGGGAGACGGTTGACTCCTCCATGACGGTGACCAGAAATGGCGGCGAGGAGAGCTGTGCGCATCTTGCCACGTAAGCAGCGCTGCATGCCAGATCGATTGCAGTGGCGATGGCCGTCGCTCCACTATACTTGACATGCACAAAGGACAAAAATCATGGCGGTGTATCTTTCCATGTTTTAGCGGAAGATTCACTCTCGTTTTGCACATGTCGAGAGTAGTGGAGCAGGGCCCAATGAGGGCCTCGCCACACCACTGTCGAAACGAAAAAAGCACTAAAACGTTCCGATGCATCTGTTGCTATTCATAGGAACGGATGCATCTTGCCACTTTCTGTGTGAACATGCATTTGAACGTTTTTCGTTTCGACAGTGGTGTGGCGAGGCCCAATGAGTCGCGAAGAAGGAACTGCCGCGTCCGCTCTGTCCAGCCCGCCATAACGCATTCCGTAACGGTCAGGCCGCCAAAATCAGTGCACAAGCTTTCCAAATGTATCTAGACACCGCTGTCTGTCACGTTCGGTTGGTGAGATTCTCTGAAGAGCTTCGGTGAGATTGGGCCTTTCCAAATGTATCTGGACACCACCGTCTGTCACAATACATTCAAAATGCTCGATCGCCAAAATTAGTTTCCACGTTCACTTGCTGAGGTTCTCTGATGAGGTTCGGTGAGATTGGAACTCCCTCTGGACAAGAACGTTTGTCACAATACATTCAAAATGCTTGATCACCAAAATCACTGCACTACCGGTAGCTTACGCGTTCGCTCGGTGAGATTCTCCCATGAGATTCGACGAGATTGGGCCTGGCTCCACTGCCCAACATTCCAAATGTCTCTGGACACCGCCTTGTGACACAATACATTCAAAATTCAAAATGCTCGACTCGATCAGTCGCGCCCACTTCCCGCGCACGCCGACGGTGAGACGCTGTGTGCAAAAAGAGCGCGCGCCGAAACGAAGCGAGGCCGAGCTGACGACCGACCCCGGGGCCAAGTCCCACCAGCAGCGTTGAGCTACCTCAACGCCCGAATCTGGACGTGTTTGTGGAGACGTGCAGTTCAGGAAACTCAACACCATGTCTGCACACTCTCCGCAAAAGCGTCCAGATTCAGTCGTTGAGCTAGCTCAACGCTGCTAGTGGGTCTTGGCCCCCTGCCGCAAATAAACAAACAAGGCGGGTTTCCTTTTTTTTTTTTTTTTTTTTTTTTTTTTTTATTGCAAAAGGACAGCAGGGGCCCGGGAACACACCCCCACAATTCAACCCGGTACATAACATGCTCGGGCCATTACCCAGCTATAGGCTTCTGGAAACCGGGTCCAGTGTCCCTTCTCCATATATCTTCCGAAGCAAATTAACTCCTAACCTTGGAATCTACTCTGAGTACCTTATTCGCATTACCCATTACTCTCCGTCCAATCTGGGAGTTCAACCCGGCTTCTCTTACAGGGGCCTAAACCCGGCCCCGTACTGAAGTACCCGTCCTACTCTATTCTGAGATCAAAGTTGTACCTCCGACCAAGATCTCTTTCCCTCATCAAATGCATCCTAATTGAGTACCTCTCCAGAGCTCAATCATGGTCCTATTACTAATTCCGAGTCCCCCGAAATAGATGTCAGTCGATTTGCCAGTGCCCAAGTATTCAAAAAACATACTTTGTTTTTAGAGCGCCAGTCCGCTCTGATAACTCTCCTCAGCTGAGACTTCACTACCGAGAGGGTGTGGGGGAATGACCAGTGGTCACCCTGAAACAGGGCTGCGTTCCTGGCCTGCCAAATTACCCCCTTCAATTCTCCTCTACACGTTTGAGCTACATACCCCCACCCTCTGGAGAAGGAATTCTGACCCGAGTCTATCCCTGTCAGGATCCATGAATCAGACCAAGCCAATGCTAGAGGTGTGGTGCCTGCTGTGAATGCCTGCCAATTATGTCTCCACCATTGCCACAATCTTTTTGAGACCGGACAGTGAACCCAGAGATGGTTTGTCGTTTCCCATGCCCATCTGCACCGAGAACACGTTTGGTTAATGTCTAGGCCTTTAGTAGTCAACCATGTAGCCGAAGCCACAACTTGGAGTGATTGCAACCAAAGTAAAGCCGCTGTTTTCTGATTAGTCATTTTCTTTAGCTGAATCCACAAGCTATGCAAATCCCGCGACCTCATCAGGCTCGGACAATAGTCTTCCCATCTTCTGCTGGCTACCATAATTGGCGATTTCTTTACCCTGAGTCTTTGTATCTTCCTGCCGATTTTTGTCGAGTACTGTACTAGAGGAAGGAACTCCGATTGGTAGCCCCTCAACTTCCAGCCATAAMTAAAGGGCTCCACTTTATATCGGGCAGGTGACACTCCCCCCAGACATTGCTCCYTCCCTCTTTTATCTTTAATCAGCATTACCMTTACTTCCTCTAGATCCCTGTTCAAATTCACCGTTCTCTCCTCTATCAAAGTTAGCTGTCTGCTCAGCTCCTGTTCTGTTGTCAAGTTTGCCGTTGGTTTCCATTCCTGAATTCTCGTACCTTGCTGAAGGTCTGGTCCCAAAATCCTCCAAAATTTCTCTTCTGTTGATGGCGCTCTTACCCATGAGTTCTCCTGCGGTAACGCTTCTCCTGTCAGCAGGGCTTTCCAGGTCTCGGGGATCGCTGCCTTCAGGGCTGCAAAGTGCTTCCTTATATTATGTACCCTCGGAAGATATAGCCGTAATTTCTGCTCTGTGACCCAGTCGTTCATCTGTTCATCCCAGATTTCCCTGATCATAAGGATCCCCTTCTTGATCCAAGAGTTGCCGAAGCTCCCCTGTGTCTGAGTCACTGGAAAGGGGGTTCCATCTTGTTGCAGTATTTCGGTGTTCTCAAACAGCAGTTCGTTCAGCACTTGTCCTTTCGAAAGAGGGGGACAGTGTTCTGTTGGTCTAATTTTCTGCCACGCTGTAAGGATGGCCTTCCAGACTTGCGACTTTGGACGCCTGTTCGCAAAGGATGGTAGTAGCAGACAACGCCAGACCGCCTTATGATTGTCCAGTTCCCATTCCATTCCCAAGATATACTCTGCTAATTTAATCCATGTCTTCTCCTCCTTTTCATACATGGCCTTAATGGGCCATCTTCCCAGTAATGCCAAATTTTGTTGTCTCGGATCCAAAAGGCCCAGACCTCCATCTTCTCTCGGTTGTGCTACCGTGTCCCAGGCAACTTTTGACAGAACTCCTTCCCCTTCTTTAGCCGTTGGTTTCCAGATGTAACCCACTGCCGACTGCCGGATGTTGTGATAGGCCCTATCACCAAGTAAGTGGACCCCCATAGGAAACCATAAAATTGAGAATGCCGCCGCTGATAGGACTAGCGATCTCCCAAAGAGGGACAATTGGAATCCCCTTTCCCAGTTCCCTATTCTTGATTTTACCTTCGTCTCCAGTATTAAATCTTGTTTAGCTGAAGCATTACCCAATGAGATCTGGACACCCAACAGCCTCTCTGAGTCTCTTTCCTCTACCCTGTTCATCCCCCAATCCAGTGACAATACCCAAGGTTCCGGAAGCAGGAAAGAAGATTTGCTCCAATTAATCGAGGCTTCAGAGAGAACACAGTAAGATTCGACTACGGATCTCAGTTCTGTTAGTGAGTTCGTTGTGTTTCTGCAGACCACTGTCAGATCATCAGCTAATGCATTTCCCTTCCACTGAATAGAAGGAGAGATCTGTAAACCGATAATATTATCATTATGCCTGATATTATCAAGAAGGACTTCGAGCTGGATTACGAAGAGCAGCGGGGCCAGGGGACAGCCCTGGCGTAGGGAGCGTGTTAGATGAATTGTTTGTGAGAGGCAGCCATTCACATTGACTACAGCAGTTCCCTGGGAGTACATGGACTGGACAATTCTGAGAAAATTTACCCCAAAGTTCATTCTTTTTAGGGTGGTCGAAACGAAGGCCCACCCGACCTTATCGTATGCTTTATCCATGTCTAAAAGGAGGGTGGCCACGTTCCTATTCTCTGCACCAATGATTTCTAACGCTTGAATAGTAGTCATGATATTCTCGTGAATAGAACGACCCCTCACAAAGGCACCTTGCTCCGGTCCTATAATCTCTGGTAGGTATTTAGCTAAACGTCGCGCCATTACCTTCACCAATATTTTGTAGGCTACGTTCAACAGGGAAATAGGACGATAATTCTTGACTTCCCTTTTGTCCCCTTTTTTATACATGAGGGTTATAATCCCTTTCCTAAGTCCCCGCGGTAAGTCCCCTCCTGTTAATAACCTGTTGCAGATGTCGGTGAGGAAGGGTCCCATGGAGTCCCATGTCTCCAGAAAGAACTCCACCGGGAGCCCGTCTGACCCAGGGCACTTTCCCTTCTTTAATTCTTTCGCTGCTTCCCCCAGTTCCTCTACTGTGAATGGTCTGTCCAGATCTAATCTTCCCTGTCTGGATATTACTATGTTTGTCCTTCCCCAGAAATTTGAACACAGTGTCAAGTCTGTGTCAAAGTTCGTATTCGGGGCTCTGGAGGTAAGAATATCTGCAAAGTATTCCCGTGCATACTCACACATCTGCTGTGTTGATTCTGCTAATGGGGGGTTCGTTAACAAAGGGTGTTTTATCTGTCTCAGCTGTCTCATCATCGGACTCGATTGCTGTAAGATCAGGGACCTGAAAGTGATTTTGGTCATCCTATCATACCCCGTAATCCCTCTCAGACTGAGCCATTCTAACCACTGTGACTGACGCTGTGACTCAACTGCTTCTAACTCCAACAGCAGGGTCTTGCGCTTATCTGACCAAAAATGAAAGGCGTAGACATCTCCTTTCAACTGTTCCTCTGCGTGGGCGATGTCTAATTTTAATTGTTTTTCTTTTTTATTCATGTTGCCGGCCTTAACTTGTGAGAATACGTTGAGCATTTCAGAAATGATTCCTAACCCAACATCTGCCCAGTACTCCTCTTTATCAAAGAGAGGTTTAGCCTGTTGCCAATCTGACATGTGTTTCGTCACCCAGTTTCTGATACCCTTATCCCTTAGATTACTAGTGTTAAGTCGAAAGGGTCCTCTTACTCGCTCCACATGCTCCCCCCACAGCACATCCATCATCACAGGGTAGTGGTCTGAGAGCGAGTCGATCTGAGTGTCTGACCAGATACAACGGTCCCATATAGCTCTGGCGAGGAGGAAGTCCAGCCTCCTCCCCGCCGACATTGAGCCGAACCACGTGAATCCATTAGACTCCGGATTCATGACACGAAATACGTCAGTAAGACTTTGTGAACCCATAAAGTCCAAAAGAAGTTTAGAATCTGCTCTCAAAGGGTCTAATTTTGGGGTGTCTAAGCCCGGGGTCAGGATCGTATTCCAGTCTGCTGCAAGCAGCAGATGTTCCGTATCCGGCATAAAGGTAGGTAGGTCAGCGAAGAATCAATCCTCTCCTTGTAGTCTACGGGAGCATAGATGGACATTACAGCCCAGTCCTCATCACCAAGAGCGAACTTGACCCATACAAAGCGACCCTTCGCGTCCGCGAAGGAATCCAGTATATCAATCTCCAAATCGTTGTGGAATAGTATGGCCCTGCCTCCCTTTGTGCCATCAGCTGGTGCCCAGTACTGTGGGCCCCTCCACCAATTCCTAGCTTCAACTATTTTCTCAGAATTGAGCTTGGTCTCCTGAATACAGGCCACATGAACTGCTTGTGCATGGCACCAAGACGCCAAGCGACTACGTTTACGTCGCTGTGTCGTGTCACCCAGACCCTGTAAGTTCCAAGAAGCAAGACGGATCTTACTTGGTAGAACCATTGGGCAGTGCCCATGGTTCGCCTGGTTTTTGGATGTGGCGTTGTTGTGTTATCTTGCCTGCTGCAGAGTCATCATCTTCATGTCTGTCCAAGTGCCATGGGTATTGCAATACCTCAGAGAAGTTGAGTGACGTCACCACCTCTTTCAGGTCCAAGTGCTGCAACCAGTTTGCGATTTCCTGCCCGGTCAACTTCTCAGACAGTTGGACCTGCTTTGGGATCTCACTGCCCGGGGTGGTGAAGGTCTCTAGGGGAATCCAGTGTGGACACATAGTTTTCAGTCTTTCCTGTGTATCCTTTTCAAAGTGTAGATTCAGGAAAGAGAAGAAAAGGTTAACCTAAGCTCCTCCCCCAAGGCTCACTGTGTGTCTCCCCATTCGTGGTTCTGGAATGTAACCTGCAGGGCCTGCCTCATTAGTAAAGTGCTTGGCTGCGTCAACAAAGTAAGAGGCGAAAGGCGTTCCCTCCACCTTATACATTGGTAATTCTATGGGGGAGTTCGGGACTTGCTTTGTCAGCAGCAGCGGGCCCTGGCTCGATGGCAGACAAATCAGGGGCACTGTCAATTTGACCCTTTTCCCCCCTGGAAGCTGTTGTCATTGGACGAGCCTTGGCCAAGGTCTGCCGCAACTCCACCAATTTCCCTTTACTCTTTGGGGCTTTCCTCCCCTGCACCTCTGGGGAGTAGGGTCCAGTTCTGCAGACCCCCTTACGTTGTTTTCTCGTGGGGGGTTCGGGGCCCGGATTCAAATTATCCTCTGCCAGCCGGGACTGTGTAGTACCAACAGGTTCCAACAGCAAAGGGTCGATCATCTGTTCGTCCGGGGCAATCTCCTGGGGCATGTCATCTGTAAGCAGGCCGACATCCCCAGGGCCGAGCATTCTTGCTTCGCCTTCTCCCTCCGATGGGGGAGAAGGCGGGTTTCACCCTGAACTATAGTAAGGATTGCCTTGTTCTCACACTCATGAGCCGCTGTGGCGAGCTACCCTTTCACCCACACTGTCCCAACACCCTGTAAAGAGCCTGAGCTGCCATGACGGGTTTCCCACCACGCACCCTTGGACCTTCATGATATAGCTATCGCAATGTGAGGGTATAAAGAGGCGGTGGGAACGCGATTGGTTAGGTGCTATGAGAGAACTGGTTAGGTGCTATGAGAGAACCGGTTAGGTGCTATGAGAGAACCGGTGAGGAGCAAACTTGAACTGTACCCATTGTGTCCGCAAAAAACGAAGGTCCAAGGGTGTGTGGTGGTGGAAACCCGTCATGGCAGAGCAGGCTCCTTACAAGGTGGTGGAACAGTGAGGGTAACGGGGTCGTCCCTGTAGCCACGAGAGGATCAGTGTCGGTTCAGTTCGCAGCCCGTCAGGGTTGCGTTTTCGCCCCCTGAGACATTTTCGTCGTCGTTCGTTATACCGGTCGTTCATTCGGGCCCATTGGTCGTTCAAAGGCTGGTAAAATGAAAGGCACTGGCATTTAGGGGGGGGGGGCGGCAGTTCAAGCAAATGCAGGACCGGTATTTGCCCGTGGCATTTTCCTGGGAACCGGTAGGTGGCCGTGGTCTAAAATATTTTGAAACGGCGTGGGGGCCGCAGGTCCTTGAAATTCAAATATGAAACGGCATGGACCCAGGCCTACAGCCTTATGCCCAGCCCACCCACTTTGGCCCAATCGGCCTAGTCACTGTTCTGGATGATTTGTCTGAATCTGGAAGCAGTTCTGAGCCAGATTCA